GCTGCCGCCCCAGGGGCCGGGGGGCTACGCTCAGGACAACATGCATCAGATGCACAAGGTGAGGGGAAGGGGGGGCTGCCTGCTGCCGGCACCCAAAAAAGACACGCCGCTGCGGTGAGAAGAGCAAAAATGGGTTGGGGAGCTTCGCTTTCCCATTCGTTTTTCTTCTTGGGCGCTCGGCGCAGGGCTTTTCCCTCGAGAGAGAAAGTCTCAAAGTGAAGGGTTTGGTTTAGAGTTGAGTTTGTGCATTCGGGAGGTGAGTTCGTGCGTTGAAGGACGGCTTGGGCACGGCTCGGAGCGACCTGGGCCGGTGGGAAGGGGCACCGGGGAGGGCTTTAAGGCCCCTTCCGCCCCAAACCGTTTCGCCATCTGTGGTGTTCCCTACCCCAAATGTCAGGGCATCGTGCCCGCCTCCCGGGCTCCCTTTTGGATTGCCAGCGGGGGCTGAGGAGTTTAATTCTGAAATAAGAACGGGAGTGGAACGTCTAGTAAAGGTTCCTCTCATTGGGAATTTGGAGCTCGGGGAAAACGAGCCTCCCTTCTGCCTTTCCATTTCTACCATGAAAGCGTTTGGGGTTTGGGGTTTTTTTGCTTTATTTTGCCAACCAAAACCCCTTTTTCTCAGTTTATTCAATCATCTTTGGCATCATCAGACCTGGGTGTGGGGGGGGGGAGGGAACCAAACAGGAAAAGCATTTGAGCGCTGTCAGGTTTCTTTGAAACGTCCCCCTGTGCTTATTCCCCTCCCCACCATTTAACGCGGGTGGTTCGCGGTATTTTGCCGGGAAACCGGTTTTCATTTTTGGGGAGGGGGTTGGCAGCGCCAGGACGGGAACCGCACGTCCTGGGTGCCTTTGCGCAACGCCGGCGTTGGGCGGCACAGCTGCCGGTGCTCGCTTTCCTCCCTCTCCGGGAGCGGGGTAAGCCGGTCTCTGATTTTTTTGGGGTGTCGCTTTTCTCCCGCAGCCCATGGACTCGATGCACGAGAAGGGAATAACCGAGGATCCTCGCTACAGCCAGATGAAAGGGATGGGGATGCGGCCCGGCGGGCACGCGGGAATGGGTCCTCCTCCCAGCCCCATGGATCAGCACTCTCAAGGTTGGCTTCTGGAAGAAAAAAGAAAAAAAAATCCATCTTATTTTCGAGGGGTCGGGGCTGGGGGTCAGTCTGGAGCTCCCACAGCATCTGTGGCTGTGCTTCCCTCGGCTCTCCGTTGGGATAGGTGTGAAAACGGGCGAAGAATCGCATGGAAAGGTCAAACTGGGAGAAGGACTGTCGGTCCCTCCCCGCCTCCCGGTCTCCTCTGCCGAGATCAGTGTGGCACCGTTCCCGCGCAGCCGCTTGCGTCCACGAACTTCCCTTGGTTTAAATCCTGCATTTTGGGAAGGACGTAGCGCTCCCGGCGTTTCCAGGCTTAAAGCAGCAGTGGGCTCCACAGGGGAGAAGTTTGGGATTTTTTTTTTTTTTCTCTCTAGTTTTTTTCCTTTTCTTTTGACTCAGTCTTCCCGTGCCCGTCACGGCTCACCCCTCGCCTCCTGTCTGTCTCTCTCCCTCCAGGTTACCCTTCTCCGCTCGGCGGTTCCGAGCACGCCTCCAGTCCGGTTCCGGCTAACGGTCCATCCTCTGGCCCTCAGATGTCTTCGGGTCCCGGAGGAGTCCCCCTGGACGGCACTGACCCCCAAGCTTTGGGGCAACAGAACCGGGGCCCGACCCCTTTTAACCAGAACCAGCTGCACCAGTTGCGAGCTCAAATCATGGCCTACAAGATGCTGGCCCGCGGCCAGCCGTTGCCCGACCACCTTCAGATGGCCGTGCAGGGCAAGCGACCCATGCCTGGAATGCAGCAGCAAATGCCGACACTACCTCCGCCCTCCGTGTCCGGGACAGGACCAGTGCAAGGACCAGTGCAAGGGCCTGGACCGGGACCAACACCTCCAAACTATAACAGACCTCACGGTGAGCGCTGCCCCGGCTTTCCTCCCGCCGCCGCCGGGGTTTAGCTGGCGGTTGGGGCGTTTGCGGCACGGTTTGGCGGGGTTTGAGCCTCGCCGCTGCCCTGGCGTCGCCCGGTTGGGGTTTGCCGTTTGCACGTCGCGCAGCCCGTCTGATTGGGGGGGGGTCAGCCTGGAGAAGAGAAGGCGAAAAAGGGGAGAGCTCAGAGCCCCTTCCAGTGCCCGAAGGGGCTCCGGGAGAGCCGGGGAGGGACTCTGGATCGGGGAGGGGAGCCGTGGGACCAAGGGCAGAGAGCAGATTTAGGGGAGATCTCGGGAGAAATTCTTCCCCGTGAGGGCGGTGAGCCCCTGGGGCAGGTTGCCCCGAGAAGCTGTGGCTGCCCCATCCCTGGAGGTGTTCAAGGCCAGGTTGGACGGGGCTTGGGGCAACCTGGGCTGGGGGGAGGTGGCCCTGCCCAGGGCAGGGG